AGCCGCAATGAAAATCCGATGGGTTATATGCTGGGAAATCCTATAAAATGGTAGTTTGGGTACATTTCAAAATGAGAGAGAGAGAGAGAGAGAGAGAGAGAGAGTCTGTCTGTCCATCGCTTTCTGTGGATCTCTGGCCAAAAGACAAATGATGACACTGGGGAGAAAAGGGGTAGTGGATAATACACTGGATGCTCAGTTGGTATAAATTGGCATAGCTGTAGTGTAGCCATGCTGATTTCTACCTGCTGTGGCTCTGACCCCATATGCCTACTTTAGTTCACTGCATTCACAATGTAAACTATTTTCTTTTAATCCCCTCCTTTCACAGGGCCAATGTGGAGACTACCCACACAGGGTAAGCAGTATTTGTTATTAACTGTCCCATGGCTTGCTGCACATTAATCCTAGTTTATTTGAATGACTTTTATATGGGAATGTAGGATATTTCATTAATGAGGTCCATCATATGTGTCCCACAAGTGCCATTTTACTGACTGACATGTGTTGTTGGAAGAATTTTCTAGGAGGGATTTACAACTTTATTTCATTCCTTTAAAATAGGACAGTCCTCCAGATATATACCCATACCATCCCCTCATGGAGAACCCCCCCCCAACATCATCCTGTCAGGAGGTGGGCTTTGCCTCATGAGGAAAAGGATGTGGGCTGCACCCCTAAACCTGGTGGATCCCTAGGGATCTGTAGGAATCCAGGGTCATTCAGAGGCTTTGTGCCTCCATACCATCTCTGGACCCTAGTAAGTGCCCTTGCTGGCAGCATGGCTAGGACATCTGGGGGGGCCTCAGGGAAAATGTCATATAGCTAAGGGCTCTGTTATCTTTTTCACCTAATTTGCATAAGGCCAAGTCAGGGCACAAGGGGCATCTCCTGCCCTGATTCTGCACTGTCCTGGCCACTTCTCCCTTCCCAGCCACTCTGCTCTCTACCCTCTCCTCTTCCAGCACAGGCCCTGGACCATGTGGAGAGCCTTCTATAGAGCCCAAAGGGAGGGATGGTGCTGCAGAGTTGGCTGAAACTTCCATGGGTGCCCCCTCCATGTGCAGATCCAGAGGGCACAATCTGGCCCATAAAGGGCTGCAGAAATGTAGGCTTCAAGAGCAAATCAGTGAAAGGCAATGGGTAAAACTGGCCGTGTGCCTGGAAAGCCTATGTATTTATAGTTAGAACACTTAAAGTCCATGTATTCACTGAGGGGCGGGAAGTTTTTTGAGGGAGGCGGGGTAGAAATTCTTTACCCAGTAAATAATGCCTATGGTCTACATTTAGAGTTAGACATCCAGTTCTGTCACAGTTCCCAGTGAATTCCCTGTAATCCTGTAGATGCCGCCTGGCTTTTTGCACATCACTGCTTGGAAAAGGGGAGGGACACTTATTTATTTTGGTAATAATCTTATTAAGCCCAGGAAGTAGCCCCACTTGCTTCCCCATCCTGCCCTTTCAAGAGAGATGGGAGTATATCATCGGGTTTAGGGGATTATAGGGATAGAATTTAACCAAGCATAAACAAAACTAAAAACAACTCTAGCTCTGAAAAGCCATTGGAAATGCACTGGAAGGACATCATATGAGAGGATTGAAACTTTTAACCACTGTGCACAGGGAGACAGGCTTAAAAGCTTTCTATTTATTTTTTCAAAAGCCTCTGGACAATTGGATCGGGTGCTGGCCCTGGGCCCAGAGAGAAGTGGGGTTAGGGGTGGTCCAAGACTCTGGTATGAAGACTGCATGTAGATAGCAAACCTGTCAGGCATCTGGGTGTTGGGGGGAGGAGGGTGGTCGTGTGTTCCGGCCCCGATACAATAATAGAAGGTCAGCTGTGTTTATTTAGACAAGCCATCTCACTAGATTGTTATGTTAAAAAAAAAAAGCTAACAACAATGTTCACTTAAGCAGTGTCCTGGGTTCCATTACAGCCCTTGGCTCCAGACTGTCCACATTGTTCAAAGTGAAAAGCGGGGGCAGGGACTCAACACAATTAGGAAATGGAGAAATTGATTACAAATTAAGAGAAATAACCTCAGTTTATACCTGACTGAGGTCACAAGTGGTCTCAGTTCATAGTCATTGCTGGATGTTGGTCCACATTTAAATTCCACCACTACCCAATCAATAGTTGGCAGTCTCCACTTAAAAAAGGCCCAGGACTGTAACACAGGAGGTGCTACAGGTTAGAGTTATGACGCACACTGGCGAAGCTAGGCAAGGGAAGCCTGCCTGTGCCCTGCTTGGCTCTATCCAGGACTATAGGAGCACCATATCCAATCTTTTAAAACGTGGTATGGAAGTGCTTAACCTGTCTGAGTCAGAGCTTCTGATGTGTGTGTGACAACTGCCCTCAGACCAGTTTCCTGTGTTGAATATACCTGTGAGACAGAGGGCTCTAGGGGGAAGGGAATAGTAGATGTGGACCAGCCTATGCACAGATATCCCTCTCTTCCTCATTATAAGGGAAAAAAAGGGAAATGAACATTAAGAAAAGTCCCTTTTTAAATAGTTTTACGCACTTTTTTAGCTAACTTAGAATTTGTCTGGTTCACACAAGCAGCAGTTACCATCATCAGATGCCATGGGCAGGACAATGAATTAGAAATATGATAACAACAGGGACAGGTTTTTGGTTTTTTTAAAGAGAGGGAATTTGAAGTCTGGGCTCCCTCTTAACCTGCCTTGGCCCATTTTTTAAACCATCAGTCTATTGTGTAACCCATGAGCAAACAGGACATACATTCCCATGGGTAAAGAGACCATACTAGGAGGTTACACGGTCTAATCCTTAAAGACAGACTGGATCATCAGAGCATGTTACAAAATCACAATGGCCAGTCTAGGGCTGGGAATGGAACCTAGTCTCAGAATAGTCAGGCCAGTAAAGTTCTTTTTTCTCTTGATGATGTGGTGTATCTAATTGACCCAGTTCTGTGTCACTGTGTCTTCACTATCCCCTAGGAATACCTAAGTACAACACTTGCAGCCCTGCGCTCTAATCAGATCCTTACACTAAAGGTTTGTGGGTAATGGTCTAACTGGACCCAGTTCTGATGCAAAAGAAACAAGGATGTGGATACAATATTGCATGCTCTGTGTTGAAAAGAACTTGCCATTGGGACTTTGGGGATGCAAATCTGGGGACAGAAGAAAGAGGCTTGAAATACATTTCTTACCCACACCTCATATGCTTGCTCTCTATGTCCTTAAATTCATAGCCAGGTCCCTTCTCACCTATGGTCAGTTTTGAAGAAGGGAAACTAAATAGGCTCCTGAGTTTCCATGCTGTTTTTTTCCTTACCCATTTTGAATAGCCCCTCCCACTCCCTTCCTTCCAGCCAGCACATTTCAGCCACTACTTCTTCGAGTCAATAGAGTTACATGAGATACAACAGTGTTCCCCCCCCCCCCACACACACACACACAAATCCCATCTTGGTGACTCCCAGATCATTCACTCGAGTTACTACAAGGAGATGCTAAATGGATCCTTTGCCCACCTGAAAGGTAACAGTTTTTCCAGCCCCCACTACACAGGCAACCAATCCAGAATGCTCCACTGAACCACCAGGCTGGTCTCTTATATTACCTTGCTCCCTGACGTTGTCCTGATAATGCCCCAAAGGAAATATCCATTCATCAAACCAAGCTGAAGAAAATTCTAGAATATCTCTGTATTTTCCAGCCATTGTGATACAGCATCATGTTGAATGGTGTTGGCCATATTCCACACAATGCACACATGGCGCTGAACAACCTAATTAGTACCATGAGAGCTCTGGTCAAAATCCCACCCATCCCACTTCAGCCCTTCCTTTCTCTGTTCTTCACCCCACTCTTCACAAAGGTTTGCTTTTTGGCAGAGGAGAACCTGCTCCTATCAAAAGTGGCCTGGTCAATTTTCTAGGGCCATATTATACTTCTTGATAGCTTATGCTTTCTTGTGTTAGATTAGGGGACAAGATAACATTAAAAAGTCCATCAGTGCAGACTGCCTCTGAGAGACTGACTGGTCTCCAGAGCCCTGGCACTGAAAACATGGCTGCTTACTCCCTCCCAGATGCCACGTATGCTGACTGCACGGATACTGCAATTTTTCAAAGGCTCAGTTGATCATATAGCTTCACCTCAAAAGCTGAAATTATCATATTTAATTCTTCTGAGATTCAGTGCGCCCTAATGTGGTCTGTAAATCTGCTGTTAATTATGGTCCTCTGAGTCAGAGGCTCTCGCCACTGGTTTACCTCAAGTATGTATTTACTGTTTATATAAACTGCCCAGTGGGCAGGACTGTAAGGCTGCAATATTGTGATGACATTTCACTTTGCAACAAGACTGGGTCTGAGCTTTCAGTAAAACACAAACACCCATGTTTAGGGGGAGCAGAGTGTGCTGCTTAGATGCACATCATCACTGTCGTGGGAGACCTGCGGGCAACACCTCTCAGCCTCGAGTTCACAGTTCAGACAGGGAAAACCCACAGAGAGGAGTACTGTGTGTGCACACATGGAGGACTTGCTGCTCCCCTCACTTACACTGCTATGAATCAAGAGTGACTTCAATGGAGTTAGGTAAACGGGAAAGAGAATCAGGCCTAATATGAGCATTCCTGGTGTTTGAATCGGTGCTGTCAACACCCATGTGCTGTGGTTCAAAGCAGCTTCCTGAGTGCACAGGCAGACAGGAGCATGTTTGGAAGTGGAAATTAGATACAGTAGAAGGGTGAACAGAAGACCCAGAACTTTAGTACATGGTTTTGATTTGTGAGGATCAGCTTTAGAGAGGATTCTTGTCCAAAACGGATCACAAGCCATTGTTACTGTTAAACAAGGAGACACAAAGTGCAGGCTCAGCATATTGTGAGGCAAAAGTTCATCCCCTCTGGTGATCAGGGGACATCTCAATTCACTCGCGAGTTGGGTCATGATGATACGGAGTGTCTTTGTGAAGCAAAAGAAAATGAAGGATCTTGAACAAGTGAGACGGCTCCTAATAGAATTCTGCTTTGCTATAAAAGGGTATAAGTTCACAAACTGGTCTCATTCTCTCACTGCTGTCCCTGGCAGGAAATGTGAGGTTGATGAATAGGTGATGAACTTTGTCTCTGCTTGGGAGGGACTCCTTCACTGTTGTGCATTGACCCCTCCAACCAGTTAAATGGTGGAATCCCACAATAGCTGAAGGAGCAGGTCTAACGAGGAGGAAAATGGCAAGATTATTAGGGCTTTTAAAGGAACATGGAGGACAATCTTGGGGTAAGGGAAGAAAAGGGGATAACTGTGAACTGTAGCGAGGATAACTGTATAGTCACCAGTCTTTGTAATTTGTAGAGAATTAATTGCAGATTTATCTAGTAACAGGATGATGTCCAGAGAAAAAATATATTTCTTGTAATGAGGGTCACAGAAATATGGAGCCGCAATTGCCAAAGAGCTCAGGTGACAAGAGGAGCTTTAAAAACATAGAGCAAACTGCTGTCTTAATAAGTGCCCCAGATCTAATAGGGACCAATTGAGAGAAACAGCACTGTCCCAAGGGAACTCTGGGGAGCTGGGGAGAAGAATATTTATGTTTTGATACAATAAATATTATCTGAGGAGTGCAGCAGAAGCTGGCACAAGAAATCTCCTGGTAAGTTTCCTTTCTGAGCCGAGATAGAAAGCAAGAAAGAACTGATAGAATGGTTGGGTGTGAAAGACCAAAGGGGGTAGCAAAATTATAGTCCCTTCAAGGAAAACCAGGGCCTTCGAAGGCCCAGCACAGAGGTATTCCTTCCTGTGTTTAAAGTACAATACAGAAGAGCTCAGAGGTTTGCCAAGCGGTACCCGATGACAAGTATCCCTCCCTGTGCCATTCACAACTATCTCTCACCTGTGGTTTATTCTCATTACAGTCTTTCTTTTTCCCTATCTTTTCATTTTCTTCATTGGCTGCTCTCTCTTGATGTCCTACTGACTCCTTTGCCTTGTGACCTTTGCCCTGTGACCTTCGGGTTCGGTCTTCTTCTTCAGCTGTTGCCTCTCCTCAATTCAGTGCGGCTGGCTCCACCCCCGGTCATAAAGAGACGCACTTTCCAGGTAGCCACTTTTTCCTCTTTGCCTGTTTTAAGCCTACTCCAAATCATAAGATTAATTAGCTTCTTTCCTTCCTTTGAGAAGGGGTTTCAAAAAGACTTTGGCAGAGCCAGGGGGCTCTCTTTAGAATGGAGCATATATTTGGTGGGAAAATGTGTCTAAACAGAAACATAGTGAATCCAGATTTTTAAAATAAAACAAATTAAATATGAAACATATGACTCGAAGAAAAATGCGGTAAAAAAGGAGGTAGATAAGCCTAACTGCTACCTTAAGGAGCCAGTTCCTGCATGCACAGCAACAACGTCAATGGCTGGTCAGAGATCCCTTTTTGAAATTTAGTAAGTGCTGTAAAACTGGTGCAAGAAGCCATGCTTACTAGGCAAACTCCTGTTTTAAAACATACTGAGCCACCTCATGTTATCAGCTGATTTTTGTCATTCCTTTGCACAGTCACTTCAAACAGTTTTCACTGTGTATGAGATATAGAAAGCAGGATGTCTCAAGGGATGGGTATTCCCTATACAGCCTTTCATTTCCAGGCTACTGGTCTATGCCCAGTACAGTTTACCACTTACCTAGAGTAATCATCTGGTGTTTTTTCAGCCATGTGAAATGAACTGGTGGTGTCAGCCCAGGTGTTTACATCAAGGGCCGGCTCTAGCATTTTTGCTGCCCCAAGCAGCGCAAAAAAAAAAAAAGCTGTGATCGCAGCGGCAGCTCTACCGCCGCTTCATTCTACGGCAGCAATTTGGCGTCAGGTCCTTTGCTCCCAAAGGGAGTGACGGCCCCGCCGCCAAATTGCCGCCGAAAGGGCCGGACGTGTCGCCCCGTCTTCATTGGCCGCCCCAGGCACCTGCTTGCTAGGCTGGTGCCTGGAGCCGGCCCTGTTTACATCACACAAACCACCACAGCTGGCATTGGTTGTCCCCCTAGCTGGTAGTCTCAAAAGAGAAGCAAAGATAGAAAGATTTTTTAAACCAAAGTTCATTTCCTGGGCCAGGTAGGGAAGCTTGCGCTGCTGCACTCCATTCTATACCTGGCGTCATTCTCCAGGACTGTAGATCTCATAAGCATTACAAAAAAAAATGTGAATTTGAAGTATATGATTCATTTAGCTTCTGTGAAATTCACTCTGTAAGCAGCAGAAAATGTAAGCCCCTCTGACAAATCCTGCCTCCCCACAGCAGAATAGTAAGTCATATGAACCCTGGGAGCCAAACATTTGGAATGCTAGAAAGAGCTGAAGCTGTAAAACAAATATGACCACCAGTAGCTGGAAGAAAAACTGCTGCTGCTTTACACTATGTCAACAAGAGTGTTATAACAGAGAATTTGTTGTGTGGGGAGCAGCGGTTAGCTGCAAACCCTGTTAGAGGGAGAAGAGAACATTGAATCCACAAGGAATATCTAGGCAACTAATTGGTGTTTAACAAAACTGAAAAATAGCACCAATTAATGGCTAAAAATATTAAATGACATCTGATAAGTATGATATCTGATCTCCAATTTACTCTATCTACTCAGTTACATTCCAGTTAAATCCTAAAGGGTCTTTCCAGGCTGAAAGTACTAATAGGAATATAATTATGTAGTAACTAAGCTTTGTGTGTCTAGGAGTCTGTCTATATGGAGCAGTTGCTTAAACAAAGTCCCCTGCAAAAAAGCAAGGACACTGCAGTGACGACATATGCTTTGCTCAGGCATCCCACCAAAGAAGGTTGCCTGTGTCTTTCTGAAAGCTTGCCAGCTGCCAGCGCGAATTTCCATCAAGGCAACTGGGTTCAACATATATACACACATTAGCACCTTCTGTGCCCCGGTCATTACAAGAAGTGGATAGCCACATCCAACAGAGGGCCCATTCCAGTTATTGACAGTCTGAGTAGTGGGAGACGGAGCAGGCAAATAGGATTCCCCCTTGTCTCAGTAAGACATAGGGTTAGCAACTGAAAGTACCAGCGAAAGCTAAAATACAAAGAGGTGAACTTTATCACCTTAGTATGCAACTAATAGTTTGTTTTCATATTCATAAGGTTTTTAAAATGTGTTTTTTTAAAACTATGCCAAATCCAAAGCCTTGATAGCTCAGCAGGGTTAATGTATTCCCCATCCGCCTGGCTTAACTTCAGATCCTTGTCGGGTCAGAAGTGAAAATAAAGGTAGTCTCATCCATGCTTGGAACAGTGAGTAGGGTGTGCTCAGGAGATGTGTGCCAGGGCTAGCAGTATAAGTCAGGAATGAGAGGCAATAGCAAGGAGGTCTCTGGCAATTTTGTAGTGTGCCGCTGCCCAACTCTATCCAAGGCTATTTGCCTCATGTTTTTATCGGAACCAAATTCACTCAAAAAAAAAATATGTAAAGGTGTATGGCTGATAGTCCTTTAATGACACTGGCTATAGAATATACATTCAGCTCAAGGATGCTCATGTATCTCTATGGAAAGACCCCAAGATGTGCTAGGAAACTGCTTAAAAAAAAGGGGGAAAGATAAAGCTCTTTTTCCCTAGGCCGTAGTGTGGGCAGGGTGAACTACCAGCTATTCTGATTGGATACGGAGGGATATTACAGAGGGGAGGCCGGGTCACTAATGGGCTTGAAATGTTTCATTTCAACTTTCTCATTTTGATTCATATAGTTTCAACTTTTATATTATATAAAATATTAACTATAATATACAAATAGAATATACCATATTTAATATAAAAATCAACAGAAAATGGATCAAAATGATAAAGTTAAAACAAAATGTTTTTACATTATCAAAACAAAATGAAATTCAAAACAATTTGTTTTGCCTTCTTCCCATCAAAAAACTTGTTGAAAAAAACATTTTGTGGATTTCGATTAAACTGCATTTTCCAATGAAACTGTTTTGTCGAAAATTTTTCGACCAGGTCTGCTGCTAATGTGACTGGTGCCCTCTAATGGTAGTGCCCTTATACTGACTTGCCACCAGCTACCAAACCCTCCTTCATTCAGGTTAAATCCTCACCCATTACAGTGTTAGCGACTCCATTATTATAAAGCAGTCCTTTTCTGCTGGTCAGTGTTGTTCCTTACTAGTTCTAGGGGAATTCACTATGGCTAATGAAGTAATAACTGTGGCCATTCCTTGGGCACCTTGAACAAGCCTATTTTTATGTAATGCTTGTTGTTAGCTTATAAACTTAAGAGGGAACACATAACTGACTTACAAGAACACATCCCTATAGCATAGATGTAGGATTGGTACTACATGCATGGGATATGTATTACATGCATTGTACACACATGTGGATAATGACTGCATGTGAGTGGAACCACATTGTATCCAACAACTTCATCTTCTGCGCAGTACAAGTTCAGCGGAGGCAATGCTCTTTATCTCCTGTGATATAGCCCCAAACCCATATATTCGTTTTGAATAAATTACTATGTTGTATTTCAGGCCTTCTAGTGAGATCACAAAGAGAAGTTTGTTGAACTTAAATCCTGACACTGATATTAGGACTTTGTGATACTGTGTCTAAGGAGAGGGAATGATAAAAAACGAGAAAGCAGGGAGCTTAACTTGAGTGTCATGGTCCCCTAGGAATTTACTGGATTAATCATTTATAGCTCAGCGGTCTGGTATTTAAATGGGATCCTTCTAAATCATTACCTTTCACCACCAGCCAGTTATGACTCTTGATTCCTCCACCCTGGGACAACTGAGGCAAATGCCATGTATGAATGCTTTAGAATGTTAGGGAATCCAAGACACTGGCTGTTGAGGTGGCATGTGATGGGCCAGCTACAAAAGGCTTAGTTCAGATAAGCACCCAAAAGTTTGGATGCTTTTGTGCACCTTATCCAAATCAAATGGATTTTAAGTCTCACAAGAATAGGCTTTCTCATGAGAATCCTAGGTCTTCCTGTTTCTGGCAGGCTCCAAATTAAAAGAAATTAAGAAAGAGCAGACACATGCCAAAACTGAGAGAGTGTTGTCTAATGGTTAGAGTATGAGGAAAAATTACACTGAGGATTTATGGCTCTGCCAGTAAGTGACAGAGTGACCCTGGCTTGATTTCTCTGAAATGGGAATGAGAGTAGTCCCCTATTTCAGAAGGCACTGTGAGGTTTCAGTGATCACTGACTGTACAGTGCTTTAAGATCCTCACATGGAAAGCGCTCAAAGGTTCTTGGGGGATTCTCAATATTATTATATAAAATGAATCACACTTTTTTAAACTTCAAAAACCAGTTTACTTTGTATTTGGGTTGCTCCTGGCACTATTTTAGTATCTGATCCAGTTTTCACATTTCCTCTAAGTGAGCTCTGATTAGGAGCTTTAAAATGTAGTTGCAAACTACAGAGAAATGGCTCCCATCATCCACCCAGAAAGACCATCAGAAGGGGACCTTTGCCTGAGTTTTGGAAACCTCTCCTGCCGCTAACTGTAACTTGCTTGGCTTCTCTCTCTTTCATTTGCTCTGGCTGAGCTGCTGTATGTCACACACTCTGGATGCTGGGCTATGAGTTAACCCTGCCTGATGGTAATCCTTGTTTTAATGAACCTCAGGGTGAACAAGGACAGGCGGGGATTCAAGGTCCGCCAGGGCCACCTGGTCCACCAGGGCCAACTGGACCATCTGGACCAGCAGGAAATCCAGGACAACCTGGCCCAGTTGGGCCACCTGTAAGTTTAAAAGAAACCAAACAAGCAGCATTTATCCTTCCTCTCCCCTGACATGCATGCAATTTCCTTTGCCTTTTATTGTCTCCTCTGAGCTGGGTGCACTGACCAAAAGCCATTTCCCAGGGCATGGCTGGAGGAAAGAGTTCCCAGGCAGGGAGGGAGGAGTTCTATGCCTCCAGCTATCCCTATCTGCACACACATGTGTGAGACGATGACACCAGTGCCATTTCCTCCTCTCCAGCCTATGCCACGGGGAGGAAGTAACACTCCGGCTGTAATTAGCCTGCTCTCAGCAGAAACCAGACTAAAAAAAGCCCTTGAAATCTCTTTGATGTTCTGCTCCTTGTTCTATTCCCAGGCTGACAGCTAGCCGCCTAGGAAGGTGAAAATACTGTCACTAATGTTCCTTTCCCTCTCACAACAGGGCAAAGTAGGGGAGCCTGGAAAGGCAGGCAAGGATGGAAAGGTAGGTACAGTAGAGCTGCCCCACTCCTCTCTCTTCTGCATGCAGCATTCGTTGCATGAATGCAGCCAGCTCCTTAATGCCTGAGGATGGGGAACATGCCTGCAGGGCTGAACCAAGTGATCAGCAAACTGGGTGGCTGCACTTAATGTCTCCATTGCTGTCTGTTTCATTCACTGGGGGTTACCTATGCTGGCTCTGCTCTCAGGGTGCACCAAGTTCCTTGCTCAGGGACTATGGAGAGGCATCTTAGCATATTTTTCCATGATAAACATGATCTGAAGCACTTCACATTGAAGTCTTCTGTCCAGAAAAGAATATATACAGTATGGCTATTGCCAATGCTAGCTTTTCCTAAACTGACCCACCCATCAATGAGCCTCAAACCTGATATGGACTCTCCTGGGGGTGACAGGTAATTTAGTCTCCATAGACTTTCAATCCTTGGTCTCTCTGCCAAAGAAAATACCAGTTATGAGGTTTTACAACTGCTGACATCTATCCATCTGTCCACTAGGAACTGAGTGAAACCACCAAGTCATTTCATATAGGCCACCAAACAACCATTAGTTAGGCATGAACTAATTGGTCTTTGCCAATCTAAGATGGATTGGAACTAGTAACCTATCTGTGAAAGGCTCTTCAGATCATTACCCTGTGAGCCCCTCACTTCACCTCTGTGTTAATACATTTTTATGTAGCCTAGAATGATAACAGTGTCTAGAGACTGAGTAATTGACAAGAGATGCTGATAATAAGTTAGGGATGGAGGAATGGAGAAAGGTCATAAGGATCTGTGATAAAAAATCACCAGGACAAGAACAGCAAAATTAGGGCTTGCTTATGCTGATGCCTAACTTTTGGTTAGTGCTGTTCGCATGCAACAAGATAAAGGAAGCCTCAGTAATGGTTGAAGACGTACAGCCTATCACCTGCTATTTCCTTAGTAGCACACGAAACAACTACTCAATTCCTGGGTCTAACAATGAGGAGCATGGCATGCTGGTGTGCCAGACATCTAGTAGTTAGGAAATAAAGATACTTTCATTCCCAAATTTTTATAATAGCTGTTTCAAACCTGCTTGCAGAAAAGGGACATGCAGTCAACAGAGGAAAGAGAAGCCTCTTTGTGCATGTTATCTACAGGCAGAAGACTCAAGACTTGGAAAATCCCCACTTTTGATCTTTTAACCCGAAGTAGCCGTCTAAATGGCCATAAACAGGCAAAAATACTGTAAATTCAGGCCGTAGAACACATGTGGGGTATCTGTTCCATCTTTCTCATTTGGACCATTTACATCACAAGGGCAGCTGCCATATGGAAATTTTAGATATTAATATTTATATGCTATGTATAGTACCTCATGCTTGATATGTGTGCAGATTGAATGGCTATTTCTAATTTAGCACAACTACTGGTGTCTCTTTCTTCTGAAAGTCTTATTAACATATTGCCACTACTAGGCAAGTAAAAGAAAACCATGTTCAGTAAAATCCATGCTTCCTGCCCCTAAAGAGTACTTTCAGATGTGTAGCATGCCACACAGGTAGATTTCCTTTTTAATGAAGAAAAGAACAGCTCTATTTGAAATCTGATAGTAGCACATTCCACCATGAAGAAAGGATCTTTCTGTTATTCAACAGTGTATTCTAAAGTACAGGTAGTCCATATCAACTCTCTCCCTCCCTTAACACCTTTGAGATCACCTAGTTGGGTAAGGAAGAGACTACCCATTTATTGAATACTACCAGTTTCCAGTTTTGATGGTTTTGTTTCTCCAGTGCGTATAGACAGTGAGCTGGGAATGAGCTAAAGATAGGCAAGAAAAATAAACCAGATCATATTCTGGAACCATGACACGTTGGGCAAAGTAGCTTGATTTTCAAATTTACTGAGACAAAGACTGGTGGTTTGGGATAGTACTTGTGGGAGGGAGGCTTGGCTGGTATTTACTGAAATGGGGAACCGTAGAGTTTATCTGTTCGACAATGAGAATCATTTTTGCAGTGACATTCTAAAGTGATGAACTCTTTAAAATCAAACTAGGCAGCGATTGATGTCCCAGTAGAAAATTAATTACCGCCACCCCACTTCTCTAGATATTTGCAGTTTTCCCTACCTCAGTGTGTGTTCTTATTTTATCTACAGGGTTTACCTGGATCCCCTGGACCAAAGGTGAGACATTTTTCATCATCTGTAAACAAAAACAAGGATAAGAAGTTTAAAACCCTTAGCATAGATGTGAGCAAAGCTGGGCATGATCATTGTGGAGAGGTGGGGGAGGAGGGAGAAAAGAGGGTTGTTTCATAATACCTCTGAAAAAGTTCATAACCAGACTGAAACATCTTACTAAGGGCCCAATCCCAGACTCCTGGCTTATTGTTTTCAATGGAAGTTTTGTCTGAGGGAGGTGGTCATCATCAGGAAATATTGAGAAAAAAAATTGCAAGCCATGTCTTTGCTGGACTTTACCATAGAACATTTACCACATTTTGTGAATTTATTTTGTAGCCATGTTGCTAATTTTGCCAAATTTTCCATTTTTACTTGCCAAACTTGTGAAATGTCATTGACAAAATGTGAGATTTCTTTTGCCTGCAAAAATCCCCAATTTGCTTTCCTTGAGATACTTCAGACAGAGTTGTAAGATTAAGCAGCGTTAGGACAGATTAACTGTGTAAATTGAAAGCAAAACCAAATACTGTGCCTTGCAGTGTGTGGTGCAGCTTTCCTATTATGTTGTAATTCACGCAGAGTAAAACTCGCTCCTGTCCGTTGGACTCAGACAGGATATAAGCCCTGTTTTGAAAGCTCCAGGGGGAATTAAATGGTGTCTAGGCCTCATTATGGTTCTAGCACAAGGGTGAATTTCACACTCAGTGTCCTATTTTTCTTCCTGCATCTGCACAGAGGAACGGACATGGATTTTTCCTTTTCAGCCTAGCATCATCGGCTTGTCTTCATTTTGATTTTTGCAGGGAGACCCTGGAATTCAAGGATACCATGGGAGGAAGGTAAGAGGGGGAGGTAAACTTCTGAGGCACGCATAGCAACAGGATGATCAAGTATCTTAAAATGCATTATGGTGAACCAGAGTCTGGTGGAAGTGTAATAGCAAAGAAATGCCATCCTTACTACACACATTCACACACACACAGCCAGAGCTCTTCCATCATTTCCTGCAATGAGTGACTTGCTGGCAGAGGCTGGGTATGGAGGAACCCTGACCTCCCCCATAGCCGGCATTCCTCTACCGTTCCTTGCAGTGACTCCTGCTAAGAGAGCCGAGTACTGAAGATAGTTGCAAATCCCCAATAGCCACTACGCCTACCTACTTCCCTGCAGCAATTTCTTCTGGAGGGGCTGAGGCAGGAAAAGCTGTAAGCTCCCCTATAGAGTCACTTCTTCCTGGCTGAAATTTATTTTGTGCACCCATGCGCGGACATCCTCCCTCTCCACCCACCCAGTCTGAATGGCGTTGGAACAAGCTATGGCATTTACATTCCCCCTGGTATGTATCTTTCTCCAGACTAAATGAGGGAAGGTTTGATTCAGCCACAGGTTACCAGGCAGAAGCTGGTATTACCCAGGGCTGTGGATCTCTAGCATTGAAAGGTCTGCCCAAAGGGTAGTTGTCCCAGTACAAGGCACTTGCACTCCCTATATTTTATGGGGCACCGAGGTGGCCAGAGCAGCCCTAAAATGAGATGGTGCTGGGCAGAGAGGAGCATAGCCAGGGTGCCAGGGGAATATGCTCATTCAAGTCATTCCCAGGCAGCTGGATTCAGATGAAACTCCAACAGTGCATTAAAGATACTCTCCTGGGGAAACGCTGTCTGCCTTCCCCTGAGGTTAAATCCCATCCTAAGATGTGGCTAGCCCTGCCCCAGCTGCGCTAAATCCTCCCAGAGAGTTTAAAGGACAGACAGAGAGGGGGGAGAATGAAATGAAAGAGGATCATGGGGGAGAAATATTGACAAGGAGGATGAGGGAGTGAGAAGAGGAAAGTGAGTATTCCCAACAGCCGGCAGTTGTATATACTGTGTTATCTATACGTTGTTTTATGGGTGCTCTGTGAGTGAAGTGGCAAGACCTGAGAGCTTTTTAATTAGTTCTGCATAAACTGAGAAGTTTTTGTTATGTCAGGAAATGAAAATTATAGCCCCTGTGGACCACAGTCCATTCCTGCAGACACACACAAAATTTACTGCTTCTTCTTTCAGCAAACTGTCAGTTTTCTCATTAACCATCCATCCTTCTCTTTGCGACATTCAGGAGGCTTCTTAACCTTTGAATGTGCTGAGGATGTCACTGATACGGCATATTAGTGGGTGTTTGTACCTGGATCTTTTCCTATGGACGGCAGTTAACCTGGTTGATTTATTTCTCAAGCAAGGGGTCTGAATTCCTTTCATACTATGAGAAGGGTGATCCCAGGTCTGGGATCCATTAATGGGGAAGTGTGCAGGAAACACAGGATTGAATGAACACAGAGGAGAAAGTCCTCCCCACTGAGTTGACAATGAAAGGAAAGAGAAACTTCTATACTGCCCTTATCTAATGGGCAGACTCAGGATTTGGAGAAATCTCTCCCTCCATTTTGATTTTTTGTATTGAAGGTAGTCTTGTGACACCAGGGATGTGGTGACCATATCTTCACATTTAAAAACCAGGATACTTTTGTGGCAACATGCTTTAGGTCATAAAATACCTAGGCAAAAGGCAAAAAAATATATTTTTTCAAGATTTTTTCAGGTGTGTTTCTCAGAATGGAGGATTTTTTTCCAGTAACTCACCATTCTCAATGAGTTTATAATTGAACATCAAACCAGTGTCATTAACATTTACTTTGAGCAAAAAGAACAGCTTTGATACTCTCTACAGTCATGCAGTCATTATCTTCACTACAAACACTTCATCACATTGAATACTTGCACCACTAGATTGCTTGTTCTTGGGAAACGCTTGGGAAATTCTACTCAATGTAGCAATACAGCCTGAACAAATATTTTCTAGTTATTAAAAACCAGCAACCCAACATGATGACTGATGAAATGAAAAACCAGGACTTTTCAGGCAACCCAAAAGAAGTTCCTGGGACACTAAGTTGTGAAAAACCTGGACACGTGGATATATGGTCACTTCAGCCATGGATAAAATGTACTGTATGAGGGATTGGAATACGTGTTCCTAGCACCTAAATATTGATGGAATCAGGCTACTTGTGAGGAACTGTCTCAGTGTTCCATCTTTCTTTGCTTCTTGCTAAGCAACATCTCTTTCAGGGCAGGGTAAGAAGGCTATGTTGCCACATGTATTATGGGACTGTTCTCTGTCCTTCCCTCCCCCACATCTTTGTTAATATTTCTTGGTATACTGAAGGCCCCTTTTCTTCCTTCTGACTGTGTTTGCCTCTTCCTCCATTTCCTTGCTTCTCTTCTCAGGGTGAGGTGGGTGAGGCTGGCCTACCAGGTGCACCTGGCCTTCCTGGATCTATTGGCCCCAAGGTAACCATTAAACTAACAATTCTTAGCTAGTCAGTACCTCCATCTGCTTAATGCAACTTATTGCCACCCAGACATGTGCCCCTTTTACAGAAATGCAAGTATACAGGGGTGTGATACAGTCTCAGATAATGTGGTAAGCAATGTGATATAAATGTCTAGATAGACTCAATAGATTCTTTGCACAATCTGTCTAGATGACATACAAGATCCTATTGTAGATGGGGCCTGGACAATTGTCAGCCACTGGCCTCAAGGCAAGAATGCTTCCTTGCTCTCTGGAACCAGGGCCAGGCTCCAGTGTGCTCTGTCACTTGTAGATGTTGTAATGTAATTACTTGTATGTGCACAGACCATTATCTTCTGCTGGAACATGACAGATCTGGCAGTTAGTGGAGCTGCTCCTTTATATAACCTCTAGCTTTGGATACTGGAGGTGATTGAGTGAAAATGCCTTGGATTTTCAAAGGGATCTCAGGTAGCAAGGCGCCCAACTCCCATTAAAAGTTAGTTGGATGTAGGTACCTAACTCCCTTTGGCTCTTTTAAAAATCCCAGTCAATGCCTCCAATGGATAGTGATGAATGTTATAGACACTGATCACCTATGTGTGTATAGAACGTTCTCATGCACCCATTTCTCCTCTATACGTTGTCTTGCATCGGTATGCAAGGATGAACTGAAGTCAGCCCTCGAGATGCTACAGTCATTGTGCTTTATCCTTCGGTCATTTCTTGGCAGCTACAGCATGCATGTCTCATAAGCTAAGCTCTATCAATTACTTTCTATTGTCATTGCTATTAACATTATACTGTTTTTCTCTTTTTGTTCAATATGTCTATCTACGTTTCCGCTCTATCTCTGTTCTCCTTGCACAGGGTGAAAAGGGGGACACTGGCATGAAGGTAGGCTTGGGAAACATGGTTTTCTACCATATTTTAAGAGACAAGTTGCTATTCAGAACACTGTATTGTAATCGGGAGCTGGGCCTGAGAGAGACCTGTTGGATATTTAATGGAATACACATATGAGCTGTGATTAATCACAAGCAGACACGCCATGTCCTGGCTCTTTTATGCACATGCAATACAAGCTGTCTTTAGCCACTTGGTGGAATTTGATTCTTACCAAAGAATTTCTCTGACTATGAAGTTTACTAATGATTTGTTACATCTCTGTATTTGAAGGGATGGGCTGGGGTTTCCTCATAAAGTCTGGTTAGCTGACACATCAAATCTACTCAAGCTCTGCAACTCTGAGGCTGAGGTTTGGCACTATTCTTTCAGTCTCCCTCTGTTTCTAGGCTGGACAGCTCTTTTTATAGGCTAACATGGTTTTCTGCCCATATGTTATCTATTTTATTAAGATTTATTGCACCTACATATTTAAAATATATTACTCAATACAGACTTTAAAACTTTACAACATTGGCCGTTTTCATGACAGTCAAAGCATATTGTGTCATACCATATATTTTAAATATAATGAAAAGAGGCCTGTTTTATAATATTTTACATACATTAACTCTGACATATATATTTAAAATATTTATTATGTGAAATACATTTTATTTATCATGTAACAAATGCACCCACATAAATTTTCCCTTTGCGGGGGGATTATCATTCTAATGCACTAAAGGTTCCTTTCAACTATACTCTCGTGTGTTAGAATGAGTTTAACGAGGTCTTCTTGAGGGATCTGGGGTCTCCATTTAATAGCTGTATATTACATTAACAAATGATCTTCCTTTTAAGATCAACTAGAGCAACACCGAATAGATCTCCTAAATCATTGCTTTATGCAGATCCTACTCATAAACAACATCTGCATGTAATCCAAGATCCTTCCACACATCCATTCTTACACTGGTGTAATTTCATTGACTTTGATGGACTTAGTCCTGATTTGCACTTATGTAAATGAGAGCAGAATCAGACCAATAGAAGATGGGTTTTAAGAGCTATGAAATTACTGGGTTCTGAACAACTGTATGCTTTCTCTTTAAACTACTAGGTAGAATGAGTTGTGGATGACCGAGGGAAGTATATGGTCCTAAATGAGGAAAAATGCTATAAGTAGAATTCAGGTCCCAAGCCTGTTTTTATTCACTTGTGTCACTGCTATCAGTCACCTGTTCCTCATGCACTCTAAGTACATGGATTAATAGGCCTTTGATTCAGTTTCTAGAACCAAAACCAAAATTGCCTGGTCCCAACTCCAGACTAAAATAACCCCTCAATAACAGATGACAAATCTGAGACGGCCTCTCAAACATTCTAATCCCCTTTGTCAACTTTAATTGCATTGATCGCTTGCCTGTCTTGTATTGTGATCCTAGGAGCTTATCAAAAACAACAAGGAGTCTGGTGGCACCTTAAAGACTAACAGATTTATTTGGGCATAAGCTTTCGTGAGTTAAATCACAAACTCTCCTTCCCATTTCCTGATGTCTCTCGGACAGCAATAGAGACAAGGAGGGGGACTGGGAGTGGTAGCTGCTAGTCTGAGGCAGACTGCATGGAATGGAGAGAGAAATGTGGTAACCTTTCTCTCTTGTCATTTACATATTTCAGCAAGCCAATATGTTATCTTCTTTTGTGCCATAAAAAGAAAAGCTTCTTCAAACCTCTCCAGTGATCTCTCTTAGTCAGTTACTCACACACACATTCACAGATGCAACCTCCACATTTTACATTGGAAAGCGACGGATAATTGTGACCCAGAAAATGTATCCTTGCTCTTATGATCCTTATTCAACCCAGGTTCCTGAGGTTTGAGCAAACCCCACCCCACCCCCTGACCCTCCAGCAACACATTTTGGAATGGGATCATCAATACATGTTCTAAAGGGCCACCTTCCCATCCCAAGTGCAATTTATCCCTGTTTATTAAGACTCTTCCATTTGTTACTGCCATTCTCACTTTGTTCTGGGTTCTCTTATTTCCCCACTCAGAAGAATAAGAATAACAGCAGAGCATGAGATCCCAAACTAGCAGTAAATCAGCAACCAATGTATGTTCAGACAGTGCATGTGTTTGTCCTCCTGGAGTAGCTTCTTTCTGGGTATTTTCTTTACAAAAGAAGATTATATGGGGCTTGGGAAGGCCTTGCTGTTTTCCCCTTCAAACCATTCTGCTCTGAGTTAAACATGTGCAACCTCATTAATGGTGACAGGTTTGTGCAGAAGTAGCTTGGGTCACAGTTGGACTCCAGTTATCAGAATTTGCCCAGGATAATGTTAATTCGTCAACTCTTTAAAATGACCATTTAGGCTCCCTTTTTGTAGCTGGTTGCATACTGAGCATTTGTTCTTTATTACATTTTACCTTCTCTCACTTTACATTCCCACAACTTACAATGTTTGTTGCAGAATCTGGGTGTCTCACTTTGCTTCTTCCCCCTCGGGCCTCCATGGCATTGAACTAAATCTTAGCCCCATTAAAGTCAATACAAGTTTTATCAGTGGTACTGATAAGACCAGGATTTGGCCCTTTGCATATATATTTTCCTGTCAAATTCTGTTTAACTTAAATAATCTATTTTAGGAAGTTTCTTATAATTATTTTTAATGGTTATTCCTCGTTCCCAGAGGCAGGAGAGTAGGAAGAGTAGGAAGCAACTGGCTACAGGCAAGGAAGCCAATAACCACATAATTTTCTGTCTCCTGAACAAGGATCCAAGCTTGAAGTGTTTTCTTTGTTTTAATTAGGGGTTCATTATTACAACCCAACACTGCCAGAGAGCTAATCAGAATGTGGCACTCTCCGTTATTAGGGATACCCTCAGTGTGTTTAGGCTGATAACATGAAAGGCAAGGGAAGGAAGGGTAGATCTGCCAAAAGAGGGAAACTGGCAAGTACTTTCTGTGCCCATGAGAAAAGCTGCAATCCATTTCTTTAAACTCTGGCTGTGAAGAATGTCCTGTTTTTCATGGCACCTAATGCCACATTTATATGAGACAAGTGCCATTTGAGGAATTGTAAAATGGTATTGTGGGCTTCCATATTTATCACATTTCAGTGGCTTCCAGATCAAGTGTGCTCAGTTTACACACACACACACACACACACACACACACACAACAAATAAATAAATAAATAAATAATAAATAAAAATTCTAACTACCAGCCTTGCAAACCTGGGATCTGAAAGTGAACTGGGTTATTTCTGACCTGGGCACCATTCCCAGTCATAAAGATTCTGCAGGCCAATGTTGCTCTTAGGCGCACCTGTATAACTTCATTCCTCTTTAATTAAACCCTTAGTTATACCTGCATGACCCTATTGCCTTCAGGTATAAGTGAGGGCATAATTTAAACACGGTGGGTTTGCCCAGGTAGCCCTGCAGTTGGAGCTCAGTTAACAATTCTGTTGGTGATGAGCAAGCCAGAAAAGAATCCAGTTCACTCTCCCAGAGCTGGGTTGGTTTTGCAGGGCTGACAGCAGGAAAGAATCTTATTTTTGCCACATCAGTTGGCAGAGCTGACTGAATACACAAAGGGAACAAATGTGCACAGGCTAGTGCAATGTTAACATTACATAGTTAACATTTTTTTTAATTCAGGAAATGCAAAAGTTAAGGTTCTTGCTGCCACATTGCACATCCAGTTTATTTTATAGGATATACAGTATGATATAAAGAATACAGGGAGGCATTGTTGCCCAGTAGACAGAGCATGAGGTTTAGCATTAAGAGACCTGTTCTCTGTTCCCAGCACTGCCACTTATCTGCTGTGTGACCTTTGGCAAGTCACCTCATCTCTCTGTGCTGTAGTTTCCTCATCCCCAAAGTGGGGATAATGAAACTTACTTCCTTTGTAAAGTACTTTGAGCTCTATGGCAAGGATTGGCAACCTTTGGCACATGGCTCACCAGGGTAAGCACCCTGGCGGGCTGGGCCAGTTTGTTTACCTGCCGTGTCCACAGGTTCGGCCAGTCGCAGCTCCCACTGGCCGCGGTTTGCCGCTCCAGACAAATGGGAGCTGCGGGAAGGGTGGCCAGCACATCTCTCGGTCCGCGCCGCTTCCTGCAGCCCCCATTGGCCTGCAGCAGCGAACCGCGGCCAGTGGGAGCCGCGATCGGCCGAACCTGCAGACATGGCAGGTAAACAAACTGGCCCGGCCCACCAGGGTGCTTACGCAGGCGGGCCACATGCCAAAGGTTGCTGATCCCTGCTCTATGAATAAAAAGCACTACATAAGAGCTAAGTGTTATTACTAAATGTCTTATTTATCCACAAAAACAGGAACAGAAAATATTTATATGAGCAAGGTGACCATGTTAGTGTTGCTGTAGAAACTTAAATGTTTACATATCCTGACTATTTTTAATTTAACTGTGCATCCTTATTATTGCATCAGTAAAGTTTCTTGCATCGATATATATTACCATTCACGTGTATTGCACTTTAGAGGGTTGGTAGTTATTTCCACTGTGATCTCTCTGTTTCAAAAGAGTGGGTGTGGAGGGTCTAGTCTATAGCAGAGTATTTTATTCACACTGAACACCCACTGCTTTATACTTTTCTGGAACTTCGCCCCATATCACACTAGTTTCTTGTGGTGGCTTAATTAAATATCAAGTGTTGAATCGGGAAACTAAAATGACAGATGAGCAGTAAGGAAATGAAAAGAGGATGGTAAAAAAATTATTTTTCTGCTTTTATGAATTTCCTCTTTCCTTGATTTTATAGCTGTCTTCAGTTCCCCAGAGTCCCTCCTTGAGTTAATATGCAGAAGTTTGAGGTTAATATGCTCAAGAATGGCATGCGAGCTACTTAAAGAGGCCCATTTGGATAATGGGTACAGCCAATTCAGCGCTGACACATAGTGGGTATCTACATTGCAATTAGACATTCATGGCTGACCCATGCCAGCTGACTCTGGCTCATGGGGTTTGGCTAAGGGACTCTTTAACTGCAGTGTAGACATTCGGGGTCCAGCTGCAGCCCAAGCTCCGGGACCCTCCCACCTCACATCTACACCACAATTAAACAGCCCCTTAGCCTGAGCCCCATGAGCCCAAGGTGAAAGTAACTTAAAAGTCTGACCGGTATGGGGGCCCGGCTCCGGGGCCCCGGAAGGGGCGGGGCCTCAGGCAGAAGGGGCAGGGCCTCCGCCGGAAGGGGGTGAGGTGGCAATTCAAAGGGCCCAGAGCTCCAGCCACTGCCACCACTGCTGCAGCGGCTGGGAGCCCCACACCCATTTAAATCGCTGGGCCCTGGGGCAGCTGCCCCTTTTGCCCCCCTCCCCGACAGCCCTGGAGGGGGCAAAAGGGGTAGCGCATTAAGGGACAGCAGCGCTTTAACGTGGGCTATGTATGGGCCCGTACCGGCGGCCACTTCTTACTAGTACACTGTACTGGCCCATACAGGCCCACTTTCACCTCTGGCTGGTATTGGCCACCCATGGGTTTTTAATTGCAGTGTAGACATACCCATAGTTGCAAGCAATACTAATACTGATCAGTATATTATAAATGCTTGGGCCCACCTGGAAATTTCCAGCTATACCAATAAGTTAATGCAACACTGAACATTCTGCTGAATAAAACATCACATAGTACTTTTGAGGGAGATACTGAGAGAGTTAAATAAGAGCTTCACCACTGTCTGTGAATGTGGTCGGCTCATTAAACACCAGCAATAGGCAGCTTCTTAATCTGGGATTTCCGATCCGCTACTGATCTGAGGGAGGTTTCAGATTTCACCGTTAGAAACATTGAAGCTCCATACAACTTGGGGCCTGAAGATGGGTGAGGAGGGCAGGAGGAGGGATTGCTAGTGGATGGGACTAAAACACATTATTGGAAATTCTGGTTCTTAGACTGAGGTCTTGCACTGCCCTCTGCTGGGGTGTTAAGAGAAGTCTGGTGTCAGTGCAGTTCTTCCAATCCAGATTACATCTGAAGAAACAGTAATTTTTCCAAATTTATCTTTGAAACAAATCTGCCTCTCCTCCATTTTGCTCAGCATGCTATTCCAAAAGCTTATGTCATGAAAGCCATTTCCTTTCCTGTATTAACTGTTAGTTGCATATGAAAATGGCATTGTTTAAATTAAAGCTTTAATTTCATGAGCCTTCTGCTGGCTGTGGACACCTTGCTACGTCACTTGTGACCCATAGACCTTACATGAATCCTGTGTCAGCGATTGCAAACTCACTTTCTTCCAGTTTTTGTCTTGGGGGTGGGAGTGCTAATATCCATAGCCAGTGTGTGTCTCATGTATCACAAACAATATCAGCTATGTAGTGAACATTAAAGCTACATAGACTGTCTTGATGTCTGGGATGCAGAAGTGTGGGCTGAATTTCACAATTCCCACCCAAGCTGTTAAGAGGCAGTGTGAGCTAGTGGATAGAGCACTGAGGTACAATTCAAGATACGTGATCGGTACTATTCCTTTCTCTCCCCATGACCAGCTGGGTGACCTTGGGCAAGTTACTTTACCTTCATGCCTATTTTCCCTCCCACCCTTGGTCTTTCTTATCTTTTTAGATAGAGGGCGCTTTAAATTAATGGAGATATCCCATCTCCTAGAACTGGAAGGGACCTTGAAAGGTCATCGAGTCCAGCCCCCTGCCTTCACTAGCAGGACCAAGTACTGATTTTTGCCCTAGATCCCTAAGTGGCCCCCTCAAGGATTGAACTCACAACCCTGGGTTTAGCAGGCCAATGCTCAAACCACTGAGCTATCCCTCCCCCCTTAAGGCAGTGAAAATGCTAGCATGTACGTGGCAGCATGAAAGTCAGGCTGAGGCCCAGATTTTTGAAGGCATTTAGGCATTGCTCCACTCAGTGCTGCAAGGCCTTAGTGACTTAGGAACCTAGGTCTCATTTTCAGACGTGACAAGCTCTTAAGGGCCATATTTTTAAATGTATATATGTGCCTTATTCTCTTAGAAATCAGTGGGAGTTAGGTGCCTAAATACCTTTGATCATCTGGCTCTTAAGAGCCTAAGTCTTATTGAAAGTCGTTGACATTTAGGGTTGTAAGTGCCTACATCATTTTTGAAAAAGAGACCATGGCTATGTCTACACTAGAGACCTTACAGCGGCACAGCTGTACTGATGCAGCTGCTTCACTGTAAGATTGCTTGTGTAGCTGCTCTGTGCCGACAGGAGGGAGCTCTGCCAGCGACATAATTAAACCACCTCTAAGAAGCGGCAGTAGCTATGTTGGCCGGAGAAGCTCTCCCGCTGACATAGTGCTTTGCACACTACCACTTATGCCAGCGACCCTTATGTTGCTCAGGAGGGTGTTTTTTTCACACCCGAGTGACATACGTTTTGCCAACATAAAGGATAGTGTAGACGTGACCTTAGGCTCCTAAGTCACTTAGATCTTGCAACACTGAGGGCCTGTCTTCACATACAGTGGTGCAGCTGCGCTACTGTAGTGTTTTAGTGAAGACACTACTACAACTGCAGGAGAGCATCTCCCGTCAGCATAGTTAATTCACCTCCCCGAAAGGTGGTAGCTATGTCGACGGGAGAAGCTTTCCTATTGATACAGTGCTGTCTACACCAGGGGTTAGGTCGGTATAACTATGTCGCTCAAGGGTGTGCAATTTTTCACACCCCTGAGCAATGCAGTTATACCAATATAAGTCTGCCTGAGCACATAAATACCGTTAAAAATCTGGGCCTGAGGACCTTGTACTACTTGACATCCCAGAGAGTCCACCTCAGACAGAGCAGACTTGCCAGCTCTGTCTGTTTAGCACTGAGATGCAGGACTTGTCTACATGAACATTTAGTTAATGGCAAGTGGGAGTGTGACTATGCCACAGATAACTGTCCCCGTGGACCATGTTGACCCACATTAACAGTTCGTTAATGTGCTTTGATCTAGTCCCATTCAAAAAGGACTAGATCAAAGTGCATTAATGAAGTGTTTATGTGCATCAGCAGGGTCCACATGGGCAGTTAGTCTGTGGCAGGGTAGTGTGGGGTAGAGTCACACCCCAGCTTGCTGCAACCTAAATGTTCATGTAGACAAGCCTGCACTTTTTAAAAACAGATTTACAACCTCAGCAGCTCCTGAAGAAGTCCCCTGATTGCTTTGCCTGCACAGGCACGATGCAATGTAATTCTAACCTCTCAGCAATTAATTTGACAAAGAGCCACGTAAATTAAATATGGACACATTAGGCCACAAAAAGGCATCTACAAGACTCAGCACTGCAAACTGGCAGGATAAACTAAGGAGTTAGGAAGAAGAACATAAGAACGGCCATACTGGGTCAGACCAAAAGTCCATCTACCGCAGTAACCTGTCTTCTGACAGTGGCCAATTCCAGGTGTCCCAGAGGGAATGAACAGACCAGGTAATCATCAAGTGATCCATTCCCCGTCGCTCATTCCCAGCTTCTGGCAAACAGAGGCTAGGAACACCATCCCTGCCCATCCTGGCTAATAGCCATTGATGGACCTATTCTCCATGAACTTATCTAGTTCTTTTTTGAACCCTTTTATAGTCTTGACCTTCACAATATCCTCTGGCAAAGAGTTCCACAGGTTGGCTGTGCACTGTGTGAAGAAATACTTCCTTTTGTTTGTTTTAAACCTGCTGCCTATTTTTTTAAAAAGCTAAAGCTAGGAACATACTCTCTTCCTTTACTTTAGGATTTTTAGTACTGGGTTGACAACATGAAGAGCAAAAATTCACACTTGCAAAAGTAGAAAGAAGCACCCATCAACGCATTTTGATCTGACAAAGCCCAAGTCTGTTGACCTACTGGGTATGGCTAAGGCATTTTTGTCTGCCCCAGCTTTTGCCTGACATGGTGATTATAGGCTTTAGGTTTATCTTTGTCCTGGGGTAAATCTATATAATTATAGGGATACTGATCAGTGTATTGTGTATATCGCATTCTGAATTTTCTGCCCAAAGATATTGTGATGTGTACACAGTACCGATCCTACAATGGAAATAAAGAAATGGTTTCCATACCCATGTACTGCGCAGGAGCTGGCACTGGGTGTTAGAAAGCTCTTCAGGGCAGCAGATGCAAGGTTTAAACATAAGGCTCTCATTGTTCTGCTCTCATTTATATCACTGATGTAACAAAACAATTTGGCTCATATTGTCCTACCACCGTAATAGGAGTAACATTTTGAGACAGAACATGGCAATGCAGTCCTCCTGGTTCCATCCAGGTGCTAGGAGGTACCCAACAAGAGAAGCTCTGACTAAGAGAAACTGTCTTGTTGAAAATAAAAGCAGGAGTCGGGGTAAGGGGGTTCTGGCCTCCCTAACAAGAACTTCTTGACATCTTGTGAAATATAATGTCCACCACTGCTTTAGAGATCACTAACACAGACCCTCCTGAAGACTCATCTCATGCTTGTCCCTCTCAACTTTGTTTCTCATTCCATTTCCAGGGGGAGAGGGGCATGCCAGGGCTGCCAGGAAAACATGGAGCTAAGGTACCCTGCAAGGAATGGAGTGAGCTTGTCCACCTGACCCTGCCCATACCTCTCAACTGTCCCTGACTTTCAGGGATGGCCCCGATTTGGTTTCTACAATGATTTTTCTCACTTTCTCTATCATTTTCTTTCCGCTTCTAAAATGCAAAGCATAGGGCCTAATTTATCAAAGGGATAATAAGGGAGAAAAGTTTTACTGAAGAAATGACATGCCTATTCCCAATGCTACTTCCCATTTTGAGGTCTAATCCTGCAAGATGCTGAATGTCCTTTATTCCACTGAGATCAGCACCTCCCAGGATCAGACCTGTAATACTTTATTCTAGTGAGAAGTACCACTAATTAGTATTGGTAAGATATCACCACTTTATAAACTGTGAACATGTATCTAGTGGGCCCAATTTACCCCTGCCAACTCCAGTTTTAGGTATGTGTTATTCCATGGAAATCAGTGAAGTTACACCAATATAAAAATGGAGAATGCAGTGGTGAATCGGAGCCAGTGTGTGTATGTGTTACAGGTTTGAAATTAATATTGGAAAAGATCACTAGACTTATTCATTACAATTTTAAAGTAGAAAAATAAGGAATGGGAATTGCATCAATTCAGTAAAATCTAACCCCCAAAACATGATCTGTACATGATCCCTTTCATGACTCGGGCCCATATTTACTAAAAACTACTCACCTCTGATACATTTCTGAATGCTTTTCCCCCTTTTATTACATAGAATCCCTGATTTCCATCTTCTGTCCTTGTGTTTTTTAGCTTTGTCCCTGATTTCTGTTTCAGAAAGTTGAGAGGTATGATCCTGCCCTTCCCCTGCTTCACACTTCTCCTTGTTTGAATTTTTCCAAGCTCTTCCCAGTTATGAACTCATTCTCTTCCTTCTTTTTGCCTCTCATCTGCTACGTTAAGTTCCCCAAACCCTCCTGTTAGCTACTTTCTAATAGGGTTACCATACGTCCTCTTTTTCCCGGACATGTCCAGCTTTTCGGCAGTCAAACCCCCGTCCGGGGGGAATTGCCAAAAAGGCCGAACATGTCCGGGAAAATGGCGGCTCTGCTCCTCCCTGACTCTTCGGCTCCGTTTAAGAGCC